AAAGGTCTTCTATCAGGCACAAGATGTAAAAGAGTCAAAGGCTAAGGTGGTCCTCTATGTCAGCTTGTTCTGAGACTATTCTCTAAGAAGGTGGAGATCACTGTCTTCACATTCCTCTGTGATGTCATCACCTTACACAGTCCCTGCTTGCTGACTTTCCTTCAGTGAGTCTTTCTACTTTCCTCCTGTTGCTGTAATAAAGTAACACTGATCAAAGCAACTCAGGGGAGAGAGCATTTATTTGGCTTACACTGCCAGGTCATGGTCCATCGCTGAGCGAAGTCAGGTCAAGAACACAGCAGGAACAAGAATCAGGAATGATGAAGGAATGCAGCTTGCTGGTTCATGATTAGCTGGTTTTCTTATATAGTCCTGGACCAACCTGCCTAGATGATGATGGTGCCACCCACAGTGGGCTGGGCCTTCCCGCATCAATTAACAATCAAGACATGCCCCCGCAGGCCAAAGTGATGTATGCAATTCTTCAACAGAGGTTTTCCACATGATTCTAGGCTGTGTCTAGTTGATAATTAAAGCTGCTTAGGACAGCAGCCTTGACCCCAGCTGCTAGGGTCTGAATGTTTGTATCCTCCAACAGTAACGCCTTAAAATCCTATCTGCTTCCGTGATAGTCTTTGGAGGTGGGGCCTTTAAGAAGAGATTAGGTCATGAGCTCAATGGTGCCATGAATAGGATGATCACTCTTTTTAATTTTTTGTTTGTTTGTTTGTTCATTTTGAGACAAGGTTTCTCTCTGTAGCCCTGGATGTCCTGGAACTCACTCTGCAGACCAGGCTGGCTTTGAACTCAGAGATCTGCCTGCCTCTGCCTCTGGAGTGCTGGGACTAGAAGCATGGGCCACTACGCCTGGCTAGGGTGAGCATGCTTATAAAAGAGAGTCTAGGCAGTAGCTTATAGACCTTCATTGCTAAACCTGCCTGTTCTCTTGGATTCTAACTCTAAAAGGTGTGGTTGTTCCTTTTTTTTTTTTTCTTTGTTTGTTTTGGGGTGTGGGATACCAGCCCAAATCCTAACCATCAGTCTCCTGACATCCTGGTCATTTACCTCTTTCTCTGAAGATCCCCCCTCCTTACCTCAAGTTCCTCCTTACAGACTTCTCCCTTCCTCTCATCCATCTCCCTGGGCTTCACAGCCACTAACAGTTAAAGCTTCAAAGACCTTCGGTGTTTATGCTACGGAGCCCTTCTTGTCTCCTTTTTCAAGGAGAGAGAGAGAGAGAGAGAGAGAGAGAGAGAGAGAGAGGGGCTAGATTAGGTCCCAGGGGCACACCCTGCTGTTTTTCTCTCTAATAAAATTGCTACTGGGCCTAAAATAAAAATAAAAGAGGACCAAGAAAGCCAGGGCACAGCCAGAGGGTTCCATCTTCGAACCAGGAAATTGTTCTCAAAAGTTAACTCTTCTGCAGGCTTGGTCTTGGACTTCTGGTCTCTCTGTGATAAGTAAGTTTCGTTTCCTTTAAAATTTTTATTACTTCAAAAAAAGTGTCTGTGTATGTGTGTGTATGTGTACATAACTGTGGATGCATGTGAAGAGGGGGGATGGGAGATTGAGATTCCAATATCCCACTCAAAGGTGCAACTCAGCTTCCTCTAACTGAGCCCACCTCTTCCTCCTTCTTTTCTTCCTTCCTTCCTTCCTTTCTTTTTTTCTCTGTGTAGCCTTGGTTGTCCTGCACTGGCATTGTAGACCAGGCGGGCCTCAAACTCACAGAGATCCACCTGCCTCTGCCTCCCTGAGTGCTGGGATTACAGGCCTGTGTCACCATGCCTGGCTCTCTTCATTTCTTGATGCAGCATGTGCTAACTAGTTTTATGCCAACTTGACACAAGCTAGAGTTTTTGAGAGGCGGGAACCTCAACTGAGAAAAACGCCTCTATAAGATCAGGCTGTAGGCAAGCCTAGAGGGTATTTTCTTAATCAGTGATTGATGGGGGAGGGCCCAGCCCACGGTGGACGGTGCCACCTGGGCTGGCGGTCCTGGGTTCTGTAAGAAAGCAGGCTGAGCGGGCTGTGAGGTGCACCCCTCACAGCAAGCAGCACCCCTCCATGGCCTCTGCATCAGCTCCTGCCTCCAGGTTCCTGCCCTGTGTGGATCCTGTCCTGACTTCGTTCTGCGAAGAACTGCTGTGCAAGTGTAAGCCAAATAAACCCCATCAAGCTGCTTTTGGTAACTGGTGTTTCACCACAGCAATGATTACCCTAACTAGGACCCAAGGCCACGCTGCTTCCTAAGCTGGTTTTGGACTCCTATTCCTTCCCACCCCAGAATCAACTGCTGGGGACAAAGTCTTCAAGTCCAAAATACAGTCTTTGGAGGACATTTCTGACATAAATCAGCGCCTTCACGTCATATTGTACTGTGCTGTATTGAGGTTTTTGTTGGTTTTGAGACAGGGTCTCAACTATGTTCCCTTGGCTGGCCTGGAACTCAGTATGTAGACCAGGCTGGCCTCCGCTTCCTAAGTGCTGGCATTAAAGTTGTGCGCTGCCACGCCCGGGCCCTGGTGTCAGTTTTGTTGGGTTGTGGCTGCTGTGTTCTGTGTGAAGCACCATGTGTGCTGGTGTACATTTTAAGGCTAAGTACAAACAGAAGCAGTCAGAGATGACCTCCAGAGAGGGAAACTCTCGGATTCGTGCTAGAGAGGCCAAGTCACCTGATCAAGATAGCTTCGCCAGCTTGCTATTTCTGGCACTGGCCACGCTACCCTTGGAGACGGGGCTACTGCCACTGCTGCCCCGAAATGCCTTTATGATGACATTCTAGTCCTTTATTTGTCCTCCCAAAGTGCTGGGAAGGAAGCAGTTGGATGTGCCAGCGTCCATGCTCCTGTCCTGGCTACTGGGGACCAGGAAGAGCGGGCATCTGTCCCTTCCACTCCCTGTGTGAGCTGGGCCTCCACAGATGACAAGGGTCAGCTCTGTCTGTGCCTCTCAGGCCTTGTGTTAACCTCCCCCTCTCACTGCCTGCCTCCTCAGCTCACTGTTTTCAGCTGTCATGTACAGATCCAAGACCAGGTATCAGGTGCTGTGCCTTTCCATGCCCTTTCCTTGCTCCGAAGCCCTTTCTCTAGGGTTAAAGAGAAGCAGCAAACTGAAAAAGAGCTCAGATGATGGAGGGATTGCCTAGTATGCAAAAAGCCCAGGGTTCAGTTCCCACCACTACATAAACAGTGGAGGCAGGAGTATCAGGATCTCAAGGTCATTCTTGACTTGACTACAGAGCAAGTTCAAGGCCAGTATTACAAATATTCATCATCCTGGATGGGCCACTGAAGGAAAATTAAGATTTTTTTTTCATTCATTTCATATCCTGTTGGCAAGATCTATACATCAAGTATGGTGAATCCTATGTACAGTTTTTGCATAATCTGTATGCAAATAAGTCAATGAATAAAAATAAGTTACATAATGACAGGCTGTCAGTAGTTTTACAAATCTATAATTTCCTTTTTTTTTTTTTTTTTTGCAAGTTTCCTTACTGTTTACATGCCTGGGCTACATTAGGTTCAGGTTTAGCTTGCATAAATAATAATATGCCCAGCTGGGCGTGGTGGTGCATGCCTGTAATCTCAGCACTCTGTGAGTTCCGGGCCAGCTGGTCTACAAAGTGAATCCAGAACAGCCAAAGCTACACAGAGAAACCCTGTCTCAAAAACACCCCCAAATAACAATAATAATAACATGCAAATAAAATTTGACTGCCTTGTGAGAAGTAGAGGCTACAGTTGTCTACTGCGTGTTTGCTGTTTTGTTTGTCCGGTTCTGGGGGAGGCATTGTACACGTGAAACTGTTCCCCAGCCCTGAGACTGTGGTAGTCTGCTCTGAAGTGAGCTTTGGTTTCCCCGAGTTTTAGTTACCTGATGCCAGCTGCAGTCTGAAGACGATCTGGAAAGCAAACGACTCATAGGTTTTAAATTGTACACCCTTTTGAGTGGCACAATGATATCAGGCACGGTCCGTCTCCGTCTCACTTGGGACAGTCCCTGGTCCCCGGTGCGGTGTATCTACCCCACACAGGCTGCCGACCGTGATCAGTTAGCCACTCCATTTATCTGACTGACGGCTGAGGTTTCAGCTGCCTGTGTCCAAGTAGCTCTTACTTTGCAAAACAATGGCCTCAAAGCACAAGAGAACAAAGAGACTGCAGGACAGACAACACGGAGGTGGGGTTGGGGTTGGGGGTTGGTGGGGGGTAGGTTGCACATTGCAGGATTCAGGATATCCGAGTGTTCGGGCGTCTGCCGGAGTCTTGGAACACACCCCCTTGGAAGAGGTGGGGCTGCAGTACAACCATTTCCTGTTCGCAGGCACTCTTCTCCAGGGCTTACCTCACTTAATATTTACAGCCTTACACGCGTGTGCTCTCATCCCCAGTTCACAAGGCAATATTCCACCATCAAACCGTGATGGCCTGACTCAGTTATATTAGGTTCATTTCCATATTGTTTATCTTGAACAGGAAGGTAGAAAAAGTATGTGTGACACAGATGATTCCGGGGGCTAGCGAAACACTAAGCTGTTCCTGCAAGCTTAGTACTGTCCAGAGACAAAACTACCGGGGAGCAGAAACTCAAACCTTAATGTTCCGTCTGGCTCCTTTCCTGGCCCACCGCCTTCCTCCTCCGGCCCAGCTGCCGCAGTTCGGCGTCTCATGGCTAATGTTTGGGGAGGAGATGAAATGGGACCACTCTAAAGCTCTTAGGTTCTAAAAGGAGGTCACGCTCTCCTCCTCTGAGGAGCCAGGTACCAGCAGACACCCCTGGGGCTTGGATGCAGGGGCAGGTGTGTGAACCATATCTTTGTGCTTTGTGGACCATATCTGCCTAGAGCTAGCTCCTACTAAAACTAGATCCCAGGGTCTGGGGCCTGAGCGAGGCAAATGACATCAGTGTTCTGGAGCAAAACCCGGCCAGATGGAGGGAACAGAATGAAAACACGAGACAGATGGGGCTGGTAACATGAAGGGCAGCCCCAGAGCATCTTGGGAAAATGAGACAAAGTAGATATTGAAACAGAAGGCTAATGGGCATGAAAAAAAATATTTGAACAAGGAATTAGGAGGAATGAAAATAGTTTAAGATAAGAATTAACAGTACACAGAGTTATGAACAAAAATGAATCATATAATAATTAGCCATTATGTACATCTTTTACCAGAGAGTTTAAGTGTTTTAAAACAAATGTAAAGTCTTCCAGGACCTTGGGGCACTTTCTGTCTCTGGAGCCCTTCCTGTGGCGGGGTGGTCCAGGCTGGGCCTTCACCCTTGATCTGTAGCAGCTAATTTCTGGAGGGACCTCTTCTTTCACAGCCTGTTTTTCCTCAACAAATGCTGAATGAATTAACAAAGGAAACTTTCTTCATACAAAAAAGTACCTAGTAACAAATAAACAATTTCTTTTTCTTCCCTTTCTGTGTACTGTGCTCAAATTTTGGTTGTGAAGATTCAAGCCATCTGTAATGTCTTTGTTCAGTGTTGCTGAGGGCCACAGTGGCTCAGTAGCTTAAAGGTATTTGACTCCAAGCCTGATGCCTGAGTTCAATTCCCCGGCACCTACATGGGGAAAAGACAGAATCAGCTCCTGAAAGTCATTCTCTGACACTCCAACCCCACAAAATAAATATAATAAAAATTTAAATATATATATGCATTAACCATTATGCTACACATCCACTAGACACACCCGCACGCACACACACACGCATGCACACACGCACATGCACTCTATCTTTGCCTCCTTGACACAAAGTCTCCCATATCCCAAGTTGGCCGGGAACTCACTATGTAACTGAGAATGACCTTGAGTTTCTTGAAACTCCTGCCTCCACCGCCTTGCGCTGTCATCACAGGTGTAGCCCGAAGCTTGGAATTATGCAGTGCGCGGTGCTAGGTATAGAACCTTCAGCCTTGTCTTAATGGGAGCTGGCTTACAGTTCAGAATGTTAGTCCACGGTCATCATGATGGGAAGCATGCAGGCAGACCTGGTGCTGGAGCGGTAGTTGAGGGTCCTCTATCTGGATCCACAAGTAGTGGCGGGGGAGAGAGAAACAGACAGACAGACAGACAGACAGACTAGGCCTTGGTTATGCATTTGAAATCTCACATTTGAAGATCACACTTCCTCTAACAAGGCCACACCTCCTAATAGTGCTATTCACCTGCAGGCCAGAGGAGGGCACCAGATCGCATTATAGATGGTTGTGAGCCACCATGTGGTTGCTGGGAATTGAACTCAGGACCTCTGGAAGAGCAGCCAGTGCTCTTAACCTCTGAGCCGTCTCTCCAGCCCTGTTTTTAAAATTTTGTGTGCTATATGTCTGAGTGTTTTGCCTGCACGAATTGTGTGCATGTATGTGCAGTGGCAGTGGAAGGCAGAAGAGGGGACTAGATCTCCTGGAACTAGAACAACAGCTGTGAGATGCCATGTGGGTTCTGGGAATTGAACTTGGATTCTCTGCAAGAGCATCACGTTCTGAATTATCTCTCCAGCGCCACAACTGACCAGCTGTTGGAATGTCTCTGCCAGCTGGGCATGGTGGTGCATGCTTGTAATCCCAGCACTCAGGAGGCAGAGGTAGGGGATCTCTGTGAGTTCGAGGCCAGCCTGGTCTACAGAGTAAGTGCAGGATAGCCAAAGCTACACAGAGAAACCCTGTCTTGGGCTAGAGATAGCTTAGTGGTTAAGAGCACTGGCTGCTCTTCCAGAGGTCCTGAGTTCAATTCCCAGCAACCACATGGTGGCTTTTAACCATCTGTAATAGAATCTGATTCCCTCTTCTGCTGTGCATGAAAACAGTGTTCATATACATAAAATAAATAAATAAACCTTTGAAAAAAAAAAAGAGAAATCTTGTCTCAAAAAATAAGAGATACCTCTACCTTAATTGCTGCAGCTCTATATAGAAGCTGCTTTCAGGTGATTCTCTTTCCCTGCTGGCTTTACTTAGTACGATATGGCACAGGCCTCCAGAATGTGCCCACGGCCCTTTAGAGCATTTTCCATTCTCCACTGCTGCTGCCAGTTTGCCTGGGAACACTTCTGTAACACATGGTTTTAGCCTCAGTAGGAGCCAACCTATTTTAAACTGTCTACATTGCACAGACATTTTAGAATCTTTCCAGGTTGAAAACCACGTTAAAGAACCTCTGTTGCGTAGTTTCAGGGATGAATCATGTGATGTGAAGGATGTTTGAGTAAAGTTGGGTGTTCTTTTTTTCCCTTGCCAGGAGGAATAAAAACACCGCGTTCTTGTCAGCTGTGAAACATGGTGCCATTAAGTACCTGCTTCCTTGGCAATCTTCTTTCTTTTCCTTTAAAAAAAAAATCTTCTGTGTGTGTATGAACATTTATGTCTCTGAATGTGTGCACGGGTTTGTGACAGTGCATAGAGGTCAGAGCACATCCGGGTATTGATTCTTGCCTTCCACCTGTTTGATCCAGGGCCTCTTTGCTGTTCCTCACTGGGCATGACAGGCTATCTGGCCCTGAGCCTGCAGGGTTTCTCCCGTGTCTGTTTCACTGTAGGAACACTGGCATTATAGACACTAGCTACAGAGTTTACTCAGCTGACTATGGGTTCTAGGGGTTCAAACCCAGTCCCCAAATGTTTACCCACTGAGCTATATGTTCAGCCCAGTCAGTCTTGTCTTTTTTAAGTATTCCATGAATGATTTCCTCTTTATATCATGGAATTGGCCACAGCCAAATCTGGTGTCCATGAACTTGGGATACATCTTCTACAGAGCCTGCAGTTTATCTGGTTTGCACCATTAAGGGCTTGCGTAGGGTACACAGGTACATACATACCGGCCCCAACATACAGCTTTCAGCATGACAAAGACGTAGGTCACTTTACCTGTAAGAGACAGAGCTACCTGGTGGGTTGACGCTCTTATCGGATAAGAGGGGACTGTAGCCTGACCAATCTATGCAGGCCTTCTTGTGGATTGCAGCTCCGTGGAGGTAGCCTTTCTGCTCAGCTCATGCTAGAGGAGGCCCCAAGGGCAGAGTGACAGCCTCCGACACAGGCAACTTTGCTCAGCCCTTGGTGTGTCAGTAACTGAGGACCTCTTTGTAGCCTTTGCTCTTGCTCACCCTGATGCCATCAATCGTCCCAGCCTGTGTAAACACCTCATTTATGGGGACTCTGTGATCCCACCCCTCCAGGTCATGTCTAGGTTTTCTCGGCCACAGTGCCCTCTTCACCTTACTCCTGGTGGACGAGAAGCAGGCACTCATCAGTGTGAGTGATAACATGGGTGACCTCGAAGCCTTTGTGCTGTTCATGCTGCTTTTTGCTGCCATTTCTTGTATCTGGTGAAAACTTTCTTGGGTCAGTACCAGTTCTTTTTTTTTTTTTTTTTTGAGATGGGGTTTCTCTGTGGAGCCTTGGCTGTCCTGGACTCCCTTTGTAGCCCAGGCTGGCCTCAAACTCACAGAGATCCACCTGCCTCTGCCTCTCGAGTGCTGGGATTACACTATGCCTGGCTCAGTACCTGTCCTTATAGAAATGTCCTTTGCACTCTTTGCTGGCATGATTGGCAAGAATAGTTTGGAAGTTCTTCGGGTAAGGAGTGCTGCGCAGCCCACATGCTTTCAGCCACAATGGAGGTGTTTCTACAATGCTCTCGGCTGCAGCTTCCTTGTCTATCTGGGCTCCTGGCCTGTTAGCTTCCCACACAAAGCAGGTCACCCCAGCTCATTAGCCCGGAAAGACTATGAGGTGGGCAGACCTGGGGTGCGTGTGTGTGGTCAGCCTTAGAAAGCACTCATCTTTGACACAGTGCATGCTGGTGTGCTCTGAGGCAAACATCCCCAGACACCGTGTCAGAGAGCAGGGACTTCTGAGGCACTGAGCCATCCAGCCCTGCCTGCAGAGGAGCTGTATTTTTTTTAAGACCCGATTGAAATTTTGTTTGGAATTGTATTGCATATATTGATCAGTTTTGGGGAAAGAAGTGTGTCTTTAGGATATCAGGTATTTTCAGATATGTACATAAGATCTTTTTGTAGCTTTCTAATAGTCTTGCACGTATTTTGGGAGACACATTTCTAGGTGCTTTCGGATTTCTGTTTCATTATAGATGGTGATTAAACACACATTTGGAAATTATGTTTGCTAAAAATCAATAAAAATCAAAAACCAGTTGGATGCTCATTTGGCCCCACAGGATAACTACAAGCAGGGTAAAAGCCTGGCTGCTCTGCTCTTGCCTCTTTAGATAGGCATGTCAATCAATTAAAATGTGCCCACCTAAAAACCAAGCTTCACAATGCTGGCACACGCCTCCACGCCCAGCACTAGGGAGGCAGACGCAGGTGAATCTCTGTGAGTTTGAGGCTAGCCTGGTCTACAGAGTGAGTTCCAGGACAGCCAAAACTCTACACAGAGAAACCATGTTGGGGGAGGGGGCAGTAATTGCTAGGCAGTGGTGGCACATGCCTCTTTAATCAACAACAACAACAACAAAACAAACAAAACCCAGTAATATCCAATCTATCTCATTCTTCTTCAAGGTTGAAGTACTTGAGGGCTGGAGAGACAGTTTCATAGGTAGCGTCTGGGATCTGGGTAGGGCCTGGCATCACAGTGCCCCGGGTGCCAGCAGCAGCAGCACATAAAACCAGGCATGGCAGCACTGCATACTAAGATCCTATGAAAAAAGAGAAAAATAAAAATTTGGGATTACAAAGAGACCAGTTATATGGGCATGCAAGCCTTTCACAGATCCTTGGGGGAGCCTACAGATTGCTGGGCTCTGTGTGAGTCTTGGGTGGACAGAGGTTTCTTTCAAACTCTGGTGCACAGCCTCTGGTAACGAGCTGAGGCCCCTGGGGCAGAGCTGCAGCTTAGAAGTCTTTGTCTATCTCTGGTTGGCCCCCCTCTTGTTCCAGGGCATCCTTCCTTGGTAGATAACTGTGAACCCCCAGTAAATCCCAACCACCCAGAGTACTGGGGCAGATTGCATTTGGCAAACGCAAACACATTTCACAGATAGCCCCGGACAGATGGTGGATATCAAGACATTTAATCACAGGGTTCTGACATTTCAGAATTTGAGGGTTTGGAGTTTTGTCGGCTTTTGGGCAAAGGCAGAACCTAATAAGCCAAATAAATTATTCTCCAGTTCTCTGCTGCAAGCTGTAAATAGCCTTTGATAGGTTCTGCCTGTCGTCTTATGAAGAACATTAATCCTCCTTCAACATATTTTTGTGAAGAAAAAGCATTTCCAAATATACATTAGAAAATAATATGACAAATGAAAGATTAGAAGGACAGCTGCTTAATTTTTTTCAGGACCAAAAAGAATTAAGATATTTTTAAACAAACAGATTTTTACCTTTCATTAATTTGCACTGTGTTTTGGCAACAGGCAAGGTTACATAACCGTGCAGCTTCCTACCAAATACGGATCGGAGGGGGAAACTTGCTATTTAAATGTAGAGATCTTGACTGTTTAGTTAGGAAGGACTGTTCCCCCTCTTTGATATTTTTTTTTTTTGAAAGCTATGCTGAAACTAGAGCTTTATAGTCTTGCTTAAAAGGAAACAACAATAATACAATTGAGTGCTCTCCATATTGCATTATTGCAATCACCAGGCCTGCTGGGGAAAATACATCCTCCTCATGACATGATCAATCTAATATTATTTGCCATCCCTACTTAAAGTAGCTCAAACATTTACCAAACATGTTCTATATGACATAGAATGTGCTAAACATGGATACTGCAGTGTTGGGTAAGAGAGCCTAAGTTTTTTTTTTTTTTTTTTACAGGAAGTTGTATTTATTTTTTTTCTTTTTTATCATTATCATTTATTACAATTTATTCAAGGGTTTTTAAAAAAGATTTATTTATTTATTATGTATACAGTGTTCTGTCTGCACACCAGAAGAGGCCACCAGATCTCATTGCAGATGGTTATGAACCACCATGTGCTTGCTGGGAATTGAACTCAGGACCTTTGTAAGCACAGCCAGCGCTTTTAACCTCTGAGCCGTCTCTCCAGCCCCTATTTAAGGGGTTTTAAGGGGAGATGGTGAAGACAGGGTCATCTCTGTGTACCACATTCAATTTGAATCCTGGCTGTGGACCCCTCCCTCATCTCCTCCCAATCCCACCCCCCCCTTTTCCCCCCTATGCCCCTCCCCTAGTCCATGACAGGGAAGGTCCTTCTCCCTTCTATCTGACCCCAGCCTATCAGGTCTTATCAGGACTGGTTGCTTTGTCTTCCTCTGTGGCCTGGCAAGGCTGCATCCCCCAGGGGGAGGTGATCAGAGAGCCTGCCACTGAGTTCATGTCAGAGACAGCCCCTGCTTCCCTAACTAGGGACCCCACTTAGAGACTGAGTCTATGGGCTACATCTGAGCCGGCGTTTTAGGTCCTCTCCATGCATTTCCTTGGTTGGGGGATCATTCTCTTCAGGGCCCACAGTGCTCAGTTTTTATGGCTCTGTTGATCTTCTTGTGGAGCTCCTGTCCCCTCCAGGTCTTTCTGTCTCCCTTCTTCCATAGGATTACCTGCACTCTGTCTCAGCCTCTGTTTTGATACCTCCATCAGTAGAGTCTTTCAGAGGCCCTCTGTGGTAGGCTCCTGTCCTGTCAGGAGAGCCTAGCTTTTATACTAGGCTTCTAAGCTTTGTGCTAGGTGGTCCAACACCTGGAACCCAAGGCCCGCAAAACAAAGTACAACTTAAAAATGTTTATTTTCAAGTTTTAAAATCCTCTTGTGCTTGAGGATTCCGGGAGAGGGTGTCTGATCACCTGGAGCTGGGATTACAGGCGGTCTCTCGGGCCTGGCTTTGGCACTGACACTGAACTTGGGTCCTCTGCAAGAGCACCACGTAGTCTTGCCTGCTGAGCCATCTTTCCAGCTGCCTCGCCAAATCTTTTTAATGACGTGTTTATTGTCATTAGTGCTTGGCATTTTGCACTCAGAAGAACCTAGCAATTGTTTTTACTTATATTTCAGCATAAATATTTGCTTTGAGTTTTGGATATGCAATTTAAAATACATTTTTAAAACTTCTTGAGAACTTCATACATGCTTGCAATGTATCTAGGTCACACTCCTCCCTTTTAACTCCTCTCAGATCCATCTCCATGTTGTATTGTTCTTATTTTGAATTCATGGAAAGAGGACCGTTAAGCTACTGAGGCCAGTACAGGTCTTGAAATAGTTGAGTTTTAAGTTCTGACTTCGCAAACATCGATGACAAGGCAGAACACAGGATTCCCTTCACCCTGGTTGGTGCTCTGACCCTATCCACCCACACTTGACCCACAATTCCCTGGACAGGATAGAAATCCAAGGGGCTTGAAAACAGACTTGGTACAGAAGACAAAGTGATTTGAGGGTGATCAACTTTTTCTCCTGTAGGTGGGCGAAGCAGGAGGGTGAAAAGGGCGCTTCCGGTTTTGGAAGGTGGGACCATTCTGGGTTGGCCAAGATTTCAGGGCTGGTGCAGGAAAAGTATATACCACGAGGGGGCGCTATTGCCACACAAGTTTCAAGAGGGTAGGGCAAGCTGGAGAGTGCTTAACAAAGGACCTTCTGAGACTGTAATCATGGCAGCCACCCCCAGAGAGGACAAGGCAACTCCCTGGTAGAAGGGGAGGAGACTAAGGCTGTCATGGGGAGGTGTAGACCAGAGCGGCTGTGATCCTATGGAGGCTGACTGTTGATGAATCTTGACTAACGGAAGGAGCCCAAGCATTTAGCTAAGTATTAACCTGTACTGCATGCGGACGTCACTGCACGAAATCATAGTTGGGCAATATGCCCTCTCCAAAGCAGGCAGGCCCCATTCAGTCTGCTGCAGACCCCAGTAAGGAAGGCTTAGAGGGAGAACTTGTGGCTGCCTGACTCTTTGAGCTGGGACATTTCCCTTCTGCCCTGGGCCTCTGCCGGGCTCCAGCTTGCTGCGTGCCCAAGTGCACATCTTAGGGATTCTCAGCCTCCATAACTGTGTCTTCCAATTCATTTTCAGTATGTATATATGAATTATATTGTATACACACTGTATATCAGTATATATACACTGACTCAACTATATATTAGTATAGTTCACACATATATGTCTATATATCTATTATATGTACATATATATTTATACCTTCTATTGGCTCCATTTCTCTGGAGAATTCAGACTAATACATTATCTCTTACAGAACAGAATTTGACCATATATATAAAACGGGTTAGCTGATGTTGGGCATGGTTTTGTGGACTTTGTAAAGTAGGTTGGCTTAAGCTAAAAACATAGTTGGCGGTGGTGGGATTTAAGCCAGCAGTCCTAGCCTGGCAGATAGGCATGAACAACAGGGAAGATGGTGAAGACCAGCACATAAGGTCATCTCTGAAACAACTGCATGAGAAGAGGAGGTCCCTCGTTAGGAAAAGTCTCAACACTAACACTGATTCCCATCCTGGGGTTCTCTGTGTAAACAGTGACATGAGCTGGGGCCTCACGTTCCAGATGGGTCCCTGCCACCCTTGCTTGTCTGGGTGTGTACAAGGGCTCAGCCAGCAACAACAGGAACAAATACCGACGCTGTGGAAAGCCTCCTGGCAGGACCCCCAGAAGTTAAACCTAGGGAACCATGTGATCCAGCAATTCTTCTAGGTCCATTTCCCAACAGACTGGGAGCAGAGACTGGCGAGATGACAATGCATCCATGCTGGGAGCATTTCAGTCAGGTGCCTATCACAGACGGACGGACGGACGTGGTGGTGGTGGTCCATACGCACAGTGGACAATGCAAACTGCAACTTCTGACCTACATGAAGAGCCAGCCTTTGAGGAGATGAGAGTCCCGCCCATGCTTGACCAGGGATGAACACTGAAGCAATCCTGAGTGGAATAAGCAAGTTGTAAAAGGACAAACATTGTATGATTCCATTTACCTGAATTCTCAGAGTAGTCACACTCACCGACCCAGAAAGTAGAATGCTGGCTCCAGGATCCAGGAGGAGGGCATGAGAAGCATGCGTTTAATGAGCCAAGAGTTTCCTTTTTCCACACGCACGAGTCTGAAGATGGCTGGTGACGTCTGCACAACATGTGAGCGTACACGATGCTGCTGGCCTGTGGCAACTGGGGGCCTGCGGGCATATCTCAGTTGCTAGAGCGCTTGCCTAGTACGCAGAAAGTGCTGGGTTCAATTCCCAGCACAGCATAAAATCAGGTAGTGAGGCGCATACCTCTAAGCCCGGTACTTGGGACTTAGCCGAGTAAGAATCAGAAATTTAAAGCCAACCTCAGGTACACAGTGAGCGAGGCCAGCCTGGACCACGTGGGACCATGTCTTAAAAAAAAAAAAAAAAAAAGGTGGTAAATATCATAATGTGTTGTCTTACTACAACGTTAAAAGGCAGAACCTGGTAGAAGAGGGAAAGCCCAGATTGAAAGGTCAGGGTTGACTGCCAGGTTCACGCATCAAATGTTGTAGCCCACGGGATCCCCAAGGTGCTTGGCCTCTTGCAGGTGCATATAGTTTCCCAAGCGAATGAGTTCGGTTGGCGTGGACCAGCATAAGCCCCAGGGTCAGGCAGCTTTCACGGCAGTTCTGGTTTGTGTGTGGTACTGGGGATTGAACCTAGAGCCCTGCATGCGGGCAAGGCAAGTGTTCTTCTCCCTGAGCTACAGGCCC